TTTACAGTGGAATTAAAGAGCAACAGTATACAAGTGCAGTCACATTACATTGAAATCTAACACATACTATATATCCCCCCTCCCCCCTAACACCCCACCTCCCTTCCCCCCCCGACTTCCCAGAGCCCGTACCGGTATAGATTTTTAACAAACACAGTCTAAAATATATTAAGACAAAGGAAATAAAAAAAAGAAGTTAATAAGTTACCTAGCATTGAAATTCTTAAGCAAGGTAAGTTCCGCCTGCTTGTCCTCCAGTTTCATCTTATCCGCGGCGTGCCCAGAGACCATCGGAGATGACGAAATCAAGGCTGCAATGGGTGTGTCATTAGATGGTAACTGGAGGGTCTGAGCAAAGGCCTGCTCCACATTGTAGAAGTGCCGGTCATTGCTCCCTGGGTTAGAAAAATTGAAGGGGCGAGCCCACTGGTTTTTCACCATTTCCATAAATGGAGGGGGGGGGAGCAGGGATCTCCTCCTTGTTTGTGGTTGTGTTGGAAAACATGGCCACATCTGGATCTCTAGGTGGGGGAACCATAGGATCCCCAGTCCCAATCTTGATGGTCTTCTTGGCCTTGTGCAATTGGGTTTTGAACATTGCTGGGGGGAAAAGACCCATGGAAAGGGGGGGGTCGGGGGGAACAGATTCCTTGTCTTCCAAAAATCCCATGTCCTGGAGATTGTCCTCCCCCAGGATGGATCCCTCACTGACCATGGATAGAGAGGGAGCCCTATGATGCTGCAGGCTATGGCTGCCCTGAGTTCTATAAGAATGGGAACTCCTGTCCCTCTGGGCGATGCCCCAAGTGATGGCCGCTGAAATGAGCCTTTGGATGCTCTCAGGGAGGTGCTCCAGATCCTCTATGTCCTCATGAGAGGAGCCTGGATCCTGTGGGGTCAATCTACACGAAGGCTGGTGTGTTCTAGAGGTACCCTCCAATGGATCCACTGCCACCCCCAACTGGTTCAGGGGAAACAGAAGGGGAAGGTGACACCCCGTCTGGAATAAATGTGAGACCTGGATGGGGAGGCTGAAGGGGAGGATGGGCTGAAGCCCCTAGGTGAGGGTGATTGATTAGAGGAGTGCCTGACTGGAGACCTAGACCTGCTGGTCGATCTGGGCCTAGTTGTTTGACCCTGTTTCTCAGCCCTGGCAAAAGTCTTCTCCAGGGCCTTCTGTCTCCTTGCCTCCTCCCTCGTTATGGCCCTAGAGATGCTGAGACGCCATGGGTTTGGCTGCAGTCGCCCTGGTCTTGGAACCCTGGTCTTGGTCCTCCTCAGCTGCCATAGAGGCCTCTACAGGGCCTTAGGAACCCTCTGGTCTCGCCTCCATCGCCCCACTCATGTGTTCAGATAAGGCCTCTGTAGGCCCCGCCGGAACCTGGACCTTCGGGAGCTTTAGTGGGCTGTTTTGAATCCGGCCTCTCCGCCTGAGGCTTCCTCAGCGCCTATGCGGCTGTCCGAGGTTTTCTGCACGTGGCGCCCCAAAATGGCTGACGGAACTCCGGGTGTATGGTGCGGTCTAACGGCGGCCACGACTGGTTTTCAAATGACGTGGCTGGTCGCTTCTCCTCTGAAATGGGCTTTCCTGGCTCCGAAAACCCAGCGACGAGGCTTGTAGTACTTGCCTCGCGGTGCCCTTGGTGTCTGGGGCAGCCGTTCAATTTGAAGGCGGTGGCTCTGTGGACTTTTTGCGTGCTCTCTGCGAGCGCTGGCAAGCCAAAACCTTCCAATTTCACTGTCCGCTTTCTGGAAAGCTCCCAAAGCTGTGCTTCGAAGCACGTCACCCCCGCTGGCCGGGGATATGAAGCAGAGCTCCAGGCCCGCAGAGAGGGAGGGCAATGCCCCACAGGGCTCTCCCCGACCGCACGAGGCAGAAAAGACTGTCCCTTGGGCCGCAGCAGAATTTTGGAAATTTAGAAATTTAGAGTCTCCAATTAATCAAATTACACTTATCCAATGAAATGAATTAATTCCTACCTAACAATACTCAACAGTGCTTGGACCAAAAGACTGAGAGGAAACTGGGAGATAAGGAGAAGGAAGGAGTATTTAAGAAGTTTTCTCTCAGTCTTTGGACCAATCAGGCTTTGAGAATACCCCACACGTAACCCCTCCCTCTCTTCCACTGGAAAAGTTGTGAATGCCCCAACACTGGAAGTCTTTAAGATGTTGGATAGCCATTTGTCTGAAACGGTATAGGGTTTCC